AATATTTGTATTCAGAATTCAAATCTTGTGTCATTAATACTGAGTACAATACGCATTCTGCGATTTATACCATACATATCACGAATATTGACTTACATATTAGAGTCTAGTTTAAATTAACCTAACTCAATGTGTCACTGCTAGATTGATCAAAGTTTTACCTTATAACTTTCGTTTTATAGTCAAAAATAACAACATTTTCTAATTGTTCCATGTAATTCACTTGGTGCTCATTTCGTTATTAATTTTTATTATAATTTCGTTTTTTTTTTATTTACATTATTATTTTTATTTAATAAAATTAACTACACTCACTTTATTAAGTACGGGTTTTGAGATATCTTATTTCTCACTATATACAAGACAAGTTATTCGGGCATTTATCATAAATACAATTAGTACAATCGCAGACTTTAAATAAGACTAATAGGATTGTTGTCTCAGTATGACATGCTAATATTTTGAATCCAACGAAAAAGTATAAAACTGACAACACTTTTGCTTCCAAGCATACAGTATTCTTGTGTCAATTTTTCTATGTCATTAATATTTAGCTATAATATTGCAGTTTTTGTGATTCTGTCGCAATTTAATCCTGTCAAAGACGTTTTTTATTCTTTAAATGACCATGATAACAGAAGTCATCTTATTGTACAGTACATTCTTTAATTATCATATGGATATCTATGGCATAACTTTAAAGCAAACCCAAATTAAAATATAATTTGTTTAGTTTAGTTTAGAATAGTCCAAGAGAATTGGCACCGATAACAGCCATGGCTTACTTGTCTTTTTGACTCTTTTTGAAGTCATGAGCTTAAAGTATATTTCCGATAAAAAAAATACCCGCCTAGTTGACTCAGAATAATGTTATAATGTCGGAAATAATATGAGTAAATTATTAAGATGCTATTTAATTTTTTTTTTATTTTAGTTTATTTAGTTGAACTTATCACTAGCGCAGATACCAGTGAGATATTTCTTTTTTGTAAGTCATCATGCCGTCATGTAGTTATTCAACCGGGATTTTTAATTTAAATATTGCATAGTATTAAAAATATAGTTTCAACCGCGTCATTTAAGTATCCTCTAGTTACTATAATTTCATTTATGAAAGTTTAAGGTAAACTATAGAAACTCGAATGACTTGAATAAGTTTTTGACAAATTACACACTATTTCCAATACAATTATTTCATTGTTTATGAAGAATAACAACTCGCCTGGTGCCTAAATGACTTTGTTAAAAATAAATTGCGTTCGGAATGAAACGGACTTGCGAATCAACCACCCCGCCCCGTTCATTCTACATAACCGTCGTTAAATATGTAATACTCATTCGTGAATATATTACTATCCGTCTGTCCAGTATCTTTGTTTTCCATTTGCCACCATTGATTCTCCTTCCCATATTCGCTACTTTTACCGTTTCCCATCATTTTATTGGTTAAAATCTCGTCTATTCTCGACGTCGATGGCTTCTGATTGGTCACTTTATAAATATGATCGGCGAAAACGTTAGCTAAAACCTCTTTTGGCGCTATCAAATTATTTTCAGACGCCAGATCGTTAGAAGAATGTATAGTTCGCAACCTATCCGCGTTCAATCTGGCGAAACTTCTTGGCGATTCTAAATTTGTTACGTCCCTAAATACGTTTTGATTTTCGTACATGTTTTGGTATAATATTAATTCGTTATCGGGTAAGGTGTTAGGCGTAGGATTAGTAGGGTAAGAGGACCCGTGTTGTACCTTAGTTTTTTCACTGATGACCGCTTCTATATCTAAATCTTCGTATTTGCTGGTCTCTGGTGTGTTCTCGGTGCTCATTAAGCTGTGGAGACTTGTGGATTCTTCTAGAAGAGAATGTTTCACTATTGAAGGTGGTGAAAACATCACTGAACTATCACCGGCAAGGGTTTTACTCTGTAACAATACATATAAATATTTTAGACTTTATATATTTTATATATTTAGATACCTATGTTATTAATTAATCTAGGTAAGTACCCGTAAATATCTACACTGGGGAAACACGATTTTGTCAATGTTTCGCGTAGGATTATAAATGTCAGTAGGATTTTGTATATACTAACCGGTGTTTCAACAATGAATGCCACTTCAGGGACTAAAGTGTGAGAATGTGGAGTACTAGTAGCAGTCCCCCAGCTTGTTGCTAACGCTTTCCTCGCCTTCTTATGCACTCCCGGAAGATTCTCTTTCCCCTGGGAACCTTCTGAGCAGCGACGTTTCAGGCTGCCAATTCCTGAATCGTTCACCTGTAATAAGAAAACAGAAGGCTATTTAATTTTCATCCATATAAAGTTCTATCAAAGTTTTAACGATTACAACAGTAAATGATTTTAATTTTATTGGGTAATGAACTTCATGCTTGCTGTTATAATCTTGAAAAAATAATCTTTTTTTGTTATTTACTAGTTGTTGTCTCGCGACTTCGCCCACATAAATTATAGCCTGTCACCCACATATGATGTACCTTAACAAATCTTTTCTCTTTATATTATATAGATTTTCACTTTAACAGATAACAGGCATTTTTATGTATACAGTTATACAAGAAAGGAGAATGGGCAATTTACTATGAGAGATCGGCTATTTTTGCGTAACTGTGCACATTGTTGAAACCAACGGTAAACGATAGAGAATTATTTCTAGAATGAGTAGGAAAAAAACCATTTTAAAATTATGCCGGAGTTTGAGAATATCTGAATATTTAACAGAGATTTTGAGGTTATGTCGTTATAATATCTACATATATAAGAGCAATAAAATGAATAATGTATTTCAAACAATCTCAAACAATGTATTTCAAATATTTAATTGCGAAAAAGGACACATCTATACCGAAAAAGGAAATATTGGATTTTTTATTGTTAAGGATAAACTCAAAAACGACTAGGTCAATTAAAAACTAGTTTTTGACTAATATAATACCTGACCAACATTATCAGAGTTAAAATACTTTATTTCGTGAAAGTCGTAGTTATATACTCGCCGCTAAAGAAAATATTATAACGAATGTCACTAGCAATCTTAATTTAAGATATTTAGGCATTTATCTAACGGAATCTTATTATATTTATGTATAACACCGCTTATACACTCATGTTTTTTCCTCCGTGAAAACTTATCCTTATCCTTTATGCCTATATGAATAAACGAAGCCTATTCTTTGGGATTAGTGACAAACGTTAACTTGGCCGAACGTTGGTTCAGTCTGTACGCGTCATATTAAGATGCGCCACCCGGCCGATTGCATTAATTTGCCTCCTATTATTTACTATGAAATAGCGTACATATCTTTTTTCATACTCAAAAGAAAACCGAAGCAAGCACAGTCTTATCTTAAGTCTTATCTTAGATAGTAATTAAACAATCGATTTTTTTCGATACATAGTAATCTAGGAATCGAAAAAAATCCCTTTGTTTTCTATAAGCGATAAGGCGATGAGCCTTATATAGTCTATTTTTGCATGGTTGACATTTATCCAAGGCAAGACTCGTGATATGTCAGTTTAGCAACTGTTTCAATACGGTTAATTTTAAACGCCGCATAATTTTAAAATAGTATTTATATAGAGTAAATTATAATTAAAGAGAAGATTTATGATGAATAAATGCATAGTGCGCAATTTGCGTAATTTTAGCCGACTTCTGCCCATTCTCCTTTCCAATATGGAGTCAACTTTGCGTTGATTCTCTTGCCACTATATGTCACTTTGCTACTCTTACTTTATTTAACTTTCATGATTATATAAATAACAAGAAATCAAAACGTTTTAATATGTATTTTACATACATTATATAGGTATTTATTTAAAATTACATAAAGAATTTCTCACTCTAGTAGCACGTTTGCAGCTTAATCAGTATGACTAAAGTGAGGTAGTTAGCGGATTTGCCAACAAAGACGCATCTATTACCTGGTTGTTTGCCTCATGTTCAGCGGCCGCTGATAACAATGAATCGTTCAAATGTACAGTAGTCTCAGAATTCTCCTCCCTTTTGATCATCTCCGTGATATCCTCCACCAGTAAGCCAGGACTAGAAGGCTCATAGTTCAGACCTGACTTCTTGCCTATTTCCGCCATCGCAATTTTGAATGGAGTCGGGGTCCTGAAATATTCGCAAATAGAAAATTCGATTTAGATTTACTCTTTAATCTAACTTATAAATGGGCCGCATTTATGACATATCACATCTGGAGTGTACAAAAGTTCAAGAAGTTTGTATCACCTCTAGTGTCTAGTTTTAAAAGTCAAAAAATTTAATCGTTTACCTGTAAAGCGTCATAGAAAATTACCAATACACTACTTAATAAGTAAAAAAAAAAATCTTTATAATTTTATAAAAAAAAAAACAGCTTCCATACGTTTGTGTCTACTGAAATTGATCTACTGATTTATTGGATTTTTTCACAATTGTATAAGCGACATAATTGTTACCGTTCATTAAATAAATCTTAATATTAATTAATAACAAAATGCCATGTGATTATCCCAAAGACAAGTAATAATAATGAAGACAAAAAAGAACACTTACTTGGGAGTATTATTTCTAATGGTGGCATTCCCTGGGGTAATGTTAGGGTTCCCTGGGGTCGGTGTATTCAATAATGGACTGGCGCTCCATTCCTAAAACATTATTTTTGCCATACAGTGAAACGTAATTACAGAGAACCAAAGTAAAATGAATATTACTGGTTTTTTCTTAGTGATTTACGTAGCAATACAATGCCAAATATCAGCAATCTCATTTGCAGTGGATATTCAACACGTTAAGATTTTTATCATTGACACAGAAGGCATGTTTGTTTTTGGTGTATACAACGTGTCCCAAAATTCAACGATAAGCGGGCGCCAAGATGTAGACCTTCTCATGTGTACTTATGGAAAAATAAGAAAAAAATTATATCTTATTAATCTTTTTTATTATAAAATAAAAATTTTTTCTTATTTTTCCATAAGTACACATGAGAAGGTCTACATCTTGGCGCCCGCTTATCGTTGAATTTTGGGACACGTTGTATATATATCATCATCATCATCATCATCATCATCATCATCATCATCATCATCATCATCATCAGCCCTTTTACGTCCCCACTGCAGGGGCTCAGGCCTTCCTTATGGATGGTTAAGGAGGATGGCCCATAACCCTCTATTTGAGAGTATTAACGACTGCATATGCAGCCGGGACCAACGACTAAACGTGCCTTCCGAAGCACGAAGTAGCTCGAGATAATATTTTTTTGGTCACCCATCCCGTGACCGACCCTTGCGAAAAATGCTTAACAACAACGATCGCGGGCCGCAGCGCTTATCCTCTACGCCACCGAGCTACTTTATATATATACCATAGTACATTTTGAAAACATTTTTTAAATGTAAATTCTATATCAACCAACCTTATGTGTAGTATGCCTCAAAGGCGTGGAGTCGAATTGCGCAAAAGAGATACCAGCAGGTGAATTGAGAAACTGCGATGGACTGAAGGGGAGAGCTTTTATTGGCGTTACTCCACTCGATAAATCGCGGCTGTCTAACCGGGAAATGGCATGCATCTGGACCTGGAAATAATAAATTAATGCAATTAAGTACAAAGTGGGATTGTAAAAACTTGAAGCGGACTTTTTATTTGTTTCTGACATCGTAAAAAACTTTAGGTTTTTCTTGATTCTTTAAAACGTTAAACGCGTTAAACATTATCTTCTAAAGACAGTTAAAATCTCTTAGAATGAACACGTTCAATTACCTATAATTTTACAAAAGGCAAAAACTCGTCTGATTCTACAACTAAAATAAAACGCATTATAAAATTTAAGTCATGTTTTTTTTATAACGAAAAAAAGATAGAAATCATTAATAGCATTTGTGGACGTATGTACATTCATCTATGTTGATCGTTTTATCTATAAACAAAGATTTTGTTAACATTTACGGTGATTAGTAAAGACATTTAATAGTGACTCATTATTTTACACAGTGAATGTTTCCAGCCTATCAAAGCCCATGAGTTTAACCATGGTAAGGGTAAAACTTTTTAAATAGTAAATTTTAGCTATATGTTGCCGGAATTCTCTTAGATTATTTATGAAATAAGGTTGGCATTTGAAATAAATATTATTTATTTAGGGTTCGGTAGCCAAAGGGTAAGACTGGAACCCTAAAAATGAGACTGCCGTCTGTCTGTTTGTCACCAGGCTATATATCATGAACCGTGAAAGTTAGAAATTTTTACCGATGACCTATTTCTATTGCCGCTTCAACAACAAATATTAAAGATCAGAATAAAATAAATAATTAAAAGGGACTCCCATACAACAAATAATTTTATTGCTCGTTTCTAATACGGAACACTAAAAGCGCGAGTCCGTCTCGTTCTTAGGCGGTTTTTTTCTACTAAGGCCCCTAAAATAAATTTTAGGTACGCACAAAATGAAAAACTTTTGAGACTGAAAATGAGTGGCAGCTGTCGTGTTCTGTCGCATACATGAAAAAATAAAAACGATAATATAAATCCATTGATACAATACACGAACTCACATTAGGGTTGGGCGTCAATAGTTTCTTCGGCTTTCTTCTCAGTATAGGAGGAGGACTGTTTGTTTCTAGAAGCTTCTTCTTAGGAGAATTGTACACTGAAGGAACTACTATTTCTTTGACACTCTCCTCTTGTACCGAGTATGTTACTGTAAATAAAATATCAAAGTTTTATACATTTTTATTCTCTTTCTACTCGCCTATTACAATTAATCAATAAAAGTCTGTTCCTTATGCAGATGAATAATCAGAAGGAATGGAACTGAAACGGATATAAAAAGTGTATGGTAGCCATTCAGGTTGTTTACCGTAGGCTTTGACTGTTTAATTCTCGGAAATCTGAGGCTTTAAAAGTAAATTTACTTATTATGTAATTCATACTACGTTGATACTATTATGTGGAAAGGTTGCTGTCATACTCATATGCGATGCAAAAAAATTATATGGAAACCGGAGCTTGCAGACACATCTTTTGTGCGTTTATCAGAAGTCATAAAAACTAATAAACATATATATATAAAAAAACTAATAAACATATATATATATTCCCATCTCAGGGTGCCAGGGACCAAATGGATTTTTTGAGCATTTTGTATTAGGAATATTTTTTCATATGAAAACACTTCTGAAAATTGAGGCGAAAGATGTTTTTAAAAACAGCGACACATGTAACTTGGTTCTCTCTGCCTATTTCGTTACGAGATCTGACGTTAAGACGTGAAATCATGTTTTACAACAAAAAATGTATGATATACAATATAATCGAACTAGAATAGTCAATAGCTTGGATATAAATATGAGAAAACTACCACTATAAAAGTTTAAAAAGTCGCGGACGAAGTGTAGGACACACTACCTACTTATGGGTTTGTAATGGTAATGAATTGTAAAAAAAAAATGTGTTCTTACTTGCTTCCTGGTTGCTGTTCTCACTCGAACCTACTTGTGATAAATAATTCCTTAGCGTCGAATTTGTTGGGAGCGTTTCGATATTGATGAATCTGTGAAAACAAAATTACTGTCATTATTAATACTCGTATTTGACTTCTTTTAACTCATAACTGACGCGACTTTTTTAAAAAATTTAGTTTTCTATTTAAACTCTACAAATTCATTTGATCCGCTAATATATATTTATTTTATTAATAGTGGAAACGATTTTACAATAACTTGATACCACTCTTAAGACACTCTTAATCACTCTTAAGACCATCTTAAATTGGGCCTAAATAATAAATTAATTTCTAATGTGATTCGAAAAATAAACCTTCAAAAAACAAACTTATAAAATACGCAAAAAACTTTATGTTACCTTCTTTTTTATCGCATTATTTTTCTGTTTTTATCTTTATAACATAAGACTTATCAGAAGTAAACATTTTCTGAAACTCACTTGAACGGAGAATCAACGATCTCGACATCAGCAGCTACGAGATCACCCCTCTCTGGAGAGTCTGGCCTTAGAGTTTGTTCTTGCTGCTGTAAAATTTGCCCTTGTTGCTGTGTTATTTGCCCCTGTTGCTGTGTCATTTGCCCTTGTTGCTGTGTCATTTGCCCCTGTTGCTGTGTCATTTGCCCCTGTTGCTGTCTAATTTGCTCCTGTTGTTGTCTCATCTGTTGCACTTGTACGCTGGTTAATTGATCTTTCAATAGTCTCCTGAAGTGTAAAACTTGCTTGGACGGCGGCTGACTGGTGTTGGACGAGTTGCTTTGTACGGATTCGTTGAATGGGTCGTTCCATGACTGTGGAATTTTGAATTAAATTAATATTAACACTCTTTTCCAATATCTAACATTTTTATTGTAAGAAAAAAAATATTCTATGTTGCAATAGTATTTGTTTCATAGTATGTTATATTTTACTAGTAAAGCTCTTTCAAGTGAAACCTTTTAACCATTTCTTGACATAAGTACTTAATATTTATTAAAAAGATAAAAGAAACTGACTGATATATGAACACACAGCTAAAAATACTGGATGTATCAAGCCAAAATTTAGGCACTATAACAGTTAGTATAAGGTTCGCAAACAAAGGATTTTAAGAAATCAACCCCAGGGTGTGGTAAATCTTATTATCTATGGGCGAAGAGGCAGTTAGCTTTATCAACTAACAAAGAAAAGATAATAAAAAATTATTACTTGATTACAATCCCCCATCAGATAATGTACCTTGCTATGGTTTAAATTAGATTTAATTACGTAGTTAGCAAAATTTTGCAAGATTTTGCCTCAACTGTATTTAAACGCCATTATTTATTCCATTAGACATTTTTTATCATTTATCGCCCTCTTCCCTTTGTAAGTACTTTTTCTAGGATCTCAACAAATTTTAAATAGTTATCTGAACCACGCATTACATGTAATAGAATAATCACATATTAAGACCACACAATACATCATAAAATACATGCACAAAAATTTGTATGTACTAACATCATTATTTCCAATTAGGATCAGTTTGTTGGGCGAACTAGACTGTTCTTTTCGTATTCGTTTCCGTCGAAGATTGTCAAACAAATCCGCGTCCGATTCATACTTTCGACGCATCGTAGAGTTCCAGTGGTTCTTGATAGCATTGTCGGTCCTGTAAATTATTTATTTACATATAATTATCGGTTACGTCCGAGGAGCTCGTTGTAAGGTTGCCAAACCTAGTCTAAAATAGAGTATTGCATTCCATATCATGTAGGCGTACTATAATCTACAACACAAATAGAGGACGCTAAAATACTATTTTTTACACAAGTGCCAATCAGGCAAATGATGCATACTTATTATTGTGACAAAAAAAAAACATTTTATTCTATACATATTTTTTTTTTTATGTTTAATGAAAAAAAACTTATTTATATTTTGTGTACTTTGAAATCAGATGTACTCTATTCTTCTAATAAAAGTTGGCAACCCTAGCTCGATTGCGAAGAGGTTAAGCAACTTTCGCAAGGGTCGGTCATAGGGTGGTGGGTGACGAAAAACTTATTTCCTTGTTTCAGAAGACACGTTATGTCATTGGTCCTAGCTGCATCTACAGTTTCATATTGTATTTACTCTTACTACTTTTAAAAAAAACTAAAAAACTGTTGAAAACTTACCGGCCTGGCAATAGCTTAGCAATCCTAGCCCACTGGTTCCCGAGCTGTTTGTGGGCTTGATATATTATTCTGTCTTCGTGTTCCGTCCAAGCAGTCTTTTTTATTGATGGGTTCAGATGATTGTGCCATCGTTCTCTGAAATATTTTCGCTTCGTTAAATAGTTGGTAAGATTAGACACAATTCACAAAATAAATATGATTATACATAAATAAGACTTATTATGTACTTAAGTTTAAAATCTAATTGTATAAAAAACACGTAAACGGCGATTCGGAGGACGTGACGTCATTTGTGTGAATAAAAGGGATTATCAGTGAAAAAAAAAATATGCTGTTTTTATTTCCAAAGACACAAATAAATAAAATACAAAAAATTTCATTGTTACGTGTTAAACATTCACTATATCATTAGAATTATTTTCCATTGGCAAAATAATTTTATTGATGTTTCTCACGTTTTTATAAGATAATTTTATTACCATTTACGCATAAATGACATCACCCACTCTGAATAGCGTTGCTTTTGACTTGAGACACAGACTACAATTATTGAAAATCTATATATATATATTTAATGATTTAAAAATATAAATAATATATATATATTTAATATTAGACAAATAATCTTTAACCATTATAAACTTATTAAACCAAACTCATTTTTTTTTTGGCGACTACTACATGATACCCAATTACTTTGAATTCGATGAATACCGTTGAGGTTTTATTTTGATGTAATTACCAGTGGTCGGAATTAGGTAGAGTTATTCATGTTGTACTTACACTGATTTCATACAGCGAAAGAATAAAGTGGATATGCCTCAAATCACGAGATTAATTTTAAATAGCTGAAAGATCCCGTGATTTTTTAAATAAAAAGTTATTTACTTTTACACAATTTAAACTACTGCACGCACGACGTTGCCAAACTTACATAAATGAAAGAAAGAAATAAAGAAAGAAGAAATAAAGAAATCCCGGGAAGGTCCACATTAATATCAACATTTCGATGCAAGTACATAAATAACTCTACCTAATTCCAACCTCTGGTAATTACAAATACTAGAAAAAAAATACTCTTCCATCCAACTATGGGTTCGGTTTTAAAACATTTTTATTACTTTATTCCATAGAATAATTTTTAAAATATACATTTCTCATATTATCTTTAACAAAGTATTTTTAAGACGAACACGACCACGTAAAAAAGTACAACACATATAAATTTAAACGTATATCTCTCAGACAATTTGAGTGCAATTTTTACAGATTTATATACAGCATTATAAATACATTACCAAATATCTCAAATGAAAATATTTTATGTACCTGCATTGTTTTCCTATCCTGCCTTTGAGATGTTTTGCTATGAGCGTCCATTTTTTTGGTCCATACTTATTTACCAACTCTATAACCTTCTCATCTTCCTGTAACAAACATAATAACATTCAATAATGGAATAAAATCAGAAAACAACAAACAAGATATCAATAAACCTAATGAGTTAAATAGAATTTATCAAAATAACTAGCTTTCCGCCTAGGTCTTGTATTATACATAAAAATCACCCTTTTGAATCACCCTATCTATGAAAAAAAAAACACATCAAAATCCGTTGCGTAGTTTTAAAGATTTAAGCATACATAGTGGTAGAGGAAGCGACTTTGTTTTATACTATGTAGTGATATGTAAGTATTCCTTCAATTTGAATCTAAAATTTCAGACAAAGTATGACAATACTATTTAAGCATGGTATCCCCGATGGTGCCTCGTTCGATTTGGATGAAATCTACATCGATACTTGAAAGGAATAAATAAAAAATATTGAATGACGGAATCATCGTGCGAAAATCGTTATTGTACAAGGTGAACAAGTCTACGCGTGGGAGGGAGATGGAAAAAAAATATGAATTACAACCGTCACGATCAGCTGTTCTAGTAGCGTCTTAGGTCACCTTAGGCGTTAGACAAACTTATTGTATGGATCGTTCCGGATAAACACATGTTTATATAACCAAATTGACGTTATTTTACAAACAGAATTTGATAGAAAAAAAAAACAATTCGTTCGAGAACATATCAGATCATCGCCAATTGATTTTATGGTATACGGATGTGTAAAAGTATGTATGTATTTGTTGAGTTATTGAACACAGCCCTAACTTAAAGTAAGATGTTTACATCACTATGCCTCTCTCTATGGTTCTTGCGTCGATACAACTGCGTGTGATTTAATTAAATAAATTAGTTTCAAGTAATTTTGCTTTTTATTCTTCAGTGTTCTGTGCTGAAATTTAAAAATGACTATTTTTTAAAAGTCAATAAGGCCTTTACGTTTTACTACTAATAATTTATAGTTACATTTTTAATACAAAAAACGCATGGATATAAATACTCAATTTCCATTTATCACATTCACATTAGGTTACCTACCATAAAATTTAAAATTATAGTTTCAGAAAAACACCAATCAAAAAATTTAAAATAAAAAACTGTATCATTGTATTTCCAATCTATAACATAGTAAATGGAATAATTTTTCACGGTCATTACAAACTGTATCGTACCTACCAAACGTATAAATATTATAATTGTAATAAACAAAAAATTGACAGTTCTTTTGAAAAATTATCCATGCAATGTGAGCCTTATAAAGACCCAGTTAAGAATCCTCTTAATAGGACGAACATCAGATAATTATAAATAACCTTGAAACCATGGGAATGATATTTCAATTCGATAGGTATCACGTGTCGACAAAATTCCATTCATATTCAATATAAATTCTGTAAACACATTTTAAACTAATTAATGTTAATAACGTAAGCAGTAATTTATATTCTGTCTGTGCGCAATATCTAAATTCTCACTATCGATCAGAGACATAATATGAGAGACTTTTTCTTTTACAAATAAATTTTGGAGTTACAACTTATTTATTACCTACTCAGATTGAGAATTATTTTTTGCAAGTATAATAAAAGTTTTTCTATTGTTTTCAATGTCTTATAATTCATAAACTATAAAAAGTATATAGACAAATTTACAATATAATAAAACTAACATCGCTATGTACTTTATTCAATCAGGCATCCATCGTTGGACAGCACGTGGCGTCGAGTCAAATATATAAAAAAAACTATTGACCGAGTCAAGGCCGACAAGGATAAGTCACGGTCTGAATGTGAACAGCTGAGTTTAACTTGGTACAATTCTATACTTATACATATACGGAGATGCAAAAATGTACCTTATTCCGGCGGAACACAGTCTGTGTTCAATGAAGAATGTACATCATTCAACATATCATATATTATCTTTATTTGGTTAATTATTTTAGAATTTCAATTTTTGTTCCTAAACGCCATCATTGATGTCCTATAGGCTCTAAAGCTAAGATACTATAGGAGGTAAACTATAGTGTAGGAGGTTCTTTAAGTGAAATATGACAGCCCATGGTAGGCAAACGTAATGTTTATTTCACGAACAATGTATTGCAACTAAAAACCAAGTAAGAGTGTTGTTACTCTTGTGGATAACAAGAGGAAACAGTAAGTACCTCTATAAAAATATCGAAAAATTTAAGGGAGTTCGAGATCTATAAACCTTCATCGAGCGTCGATACTCTATATTTGATGCCTAGGGAAGGCCTGTGCACCATAAGTGGGAACATCAATAGGGACATGGTACTATCTTATATATTCAAATTATAGATATGGCGTTTATTTGCTTCCATGAGATGAAATACCTAAACCATAAAGAAATTGGAACCTTAAAAATCAATGTCAAAATCTTAATAATATAAAAAGTCTAGAATAAATAAACTGGCCTTTCGAGAACTTGAAGCTTAATGAACTTTCGTGCATTTAAAACATATTTTATTGTTAAACAAATAAACGCCAAATCTATAATCTGAATGTCGAGATAGACTAAATTACACAGGATGTACCCTCAAGGCTTGTATGCTAATATCCTAAAGAAACACAATAAGATGAGACGCACCTCAGACGGCATTCCTTTCAATAGCTAATGTGAGAAAGAGAACAGGTTTCTAGTATATACAAAAAAGAGTCAATTTAATTTCTTGTACAAGTTGTGTTAGATCCTAAGGCAACATGACTTAATATAACATTAATAAACGAGGAAAAAATATAGAAACGTGCTATTAATAATACGTGCATATTTATAATTACCTCTACAAATCTGCTTTTTTAATTTAATATAAATAATTGAACTAATTGAGGTAGATGCTTTAAAACTGAAGACAATATTACTCAATTAAGATATAATATTTCATTTGATAATGATACTTCCGTCTGGTAAAATACAAAGATAGTAGGTAGGTATAAATACGTAAAAAAATGCTAATTAGAAAAAATGACAGGATTAGAGCTTCCAATCTCGGAATACCTAGATCACGTTATTACGGGATCTCGCATTTTTGGTGCGGAATATGGGGGGTTTCGCGGGACTAGAAAAACATATCTCTCGCGAGCGCGATCGCTCGGTACTAATGGACAAATGACCAAATAAATTCAAAATTACTTTTGTCACCGTTGACTTAAAAATATTTTGGTTTATATTTTAATTTAGCAGTAATATATTTTGTAATTGAAAGATTTTTGTTTTTTCGGCATTTATTTCAGTTTTCAGTGAATACCGGGATTCAAAATCAATAGTCCCGCAAATACCTATATTTAATACAGACTGCGGGATTTGAAGACCTAGTCAGGAACACAAATTTTGTTTCGATAGTTGAACTTAAAAATTCAAAATGCAAGCTAACTTTGAGCAGTATTGCTGGGATGGGGTTACAACAAAACAAAAATACATCACAAGTAATCAAGTTCCGCAACTGGAATCCAGTATTCATGTGACTGGAAACGTGTCAACGGTCATTTGAAATCTGTTAGTCAATATACCCAGGCTAGATCTTTGCAGGGTAGACAATCATAACTAAGAAACTAAGAACGATTTGATCCAATGTTGATGAAAAATCAGAAAATAATTCTGAACATAACTTGATTCCATATTTGTATTAAGCAAAATAAATGGTGATTTAATAATGTTGATACGTTTTATGAAGAATCTATTGAATGCATCCCTATACCCAAGGTATACGAAGCTAGTTTTTCAAGCTAAAATGTCAAGCGAAAGCTAGTAAGCTCTATCACAATTTTCCTGTACACAGGACTAACGTCCTTTCTAAGCTAATGAGACCGAATAAGTAGTAATAGCAATAATAGAGACACTTACTAACTAACTTAATAGCACAAGCTGAGGTTATAACATAATAGCATAAGCTTGCTATACTGGCTTTATTAACTATTTGATTAGTTTGATAGTTTTGAAACGACTAATTAAAAAAGTACCTTATAAGCAGAATTGCGTACATGAGTGTTATATACAATCGATTATTTGAAGTATTGTAACCTAGAATTTTTAAGAAGTATGTAAAGATATTAATGTATATATTTTTATAGATATTCCTAACGACGACGACGATAGTTTTAATTTGAAGTTACAGCTTACTCAAATCTGACTGCTGCCGAGACTATTTTTAGAATACAAACCTTCATTCATATTTCGCCTACGTAAAATTAAGATTCTCAAATCGTACCACGTAGAGAGATAACTATTAATGACGTAGCTAGAGACCCAGGCTCGATTTAAAATTCACAAGGCGTAGATAAATTAAAGTTCGGCACGATGGAGTCATTCATAAAAGTTAAATTTTTAAATGATTTGATAAAAATTGTAAAATAATAATAATATATTATCCTCATTATGGAAAAAGGTAAGCTAACCCTTCATATTAGACGAATCATTTAAAATCGCGAAATTATTCAGCCAGGACTTAAAACAATGAAATCAGTATTATTTTTAGGCAAGCGTATAAAGCGTAAAACGAACTGAAAACCTTACAATGGGTTCATAACACAAACTCTTCGACTCGTCTTTAGCACCACCAAAATTCCATCGGTAGGTAAGTGCAATTCTATAATAGAGAAATATGTGTTTGTAAAAATGAATTAAGTTCTTTGTTTGTAAATAGGGTTCGGTTACAGTTTCTAGTCTGATTAATCACCACGTAAAACTTGCTAACACGTGGGTACTAGTTATAACAGGTGTTTAAATCGAGTATTAAAAAATACTAGATATAGTTAAACGTAGCACCAAAACCAAGTTTAAACGACTTTACTAACACGAAACAAAACAAGGATTTGTGTAATCTATTATCGAATTTTAAGAAAATAGCGTCCACCTCGATGTCTAGTGCAACGCTGAAACAACATAGAGCTTCAATGAAATAAAACCTTTATTACCTTTTGAAGTAGGTTTTATTTGATTGAACCTCTGTGCTATTACAATGCTGTGTAACGTCGTGCTCGAGACTGTTTTTAAAACAGAGTAGAGCGGCAATTCAGAGAATTTCTATAAACTCTTAAAATATCACTCCTTGGAAAACATAATATCAAATATAAGGAAGCTTCCATCAGAAATGAATTTGAATCAAATATGTATTCTAACAACAGCTGATCGATCAGTTTATAAAGAAATGCATGCGTGAATCAACGTCCGCATAATGAATGGGCGAATTCTATGCGTGCGTGCGTTTGCATCGTGTAAGTGACCTCTGAATCATTTCCTTTCGTATAGACTGTTTGGCATTTGTTGATTGACACAACAGTATCAATACTTCAGTTCATAATCTATCTGGTTAGAATAATAAATCGATAATTCATGAATTGTACATAAAATTCACCACGGTTTTATATAAATTAAAATTATAAGGATTCTGTTTTTACATTGTGAGTTGCAAAAAAAGATAGTATACGAACCATAAATTACGACGGCAAACAACTTCTTCAACGACGTATAAAACAAAAGATGTTTAAATTAAAATAAACAATACCAACCTCCTTGGTCCAAGGACCTTTGACTAGTTCAGGGTTGAGGACTTTAGTCCATCTTTGATGACATTGATAATCGGATCTGTCCGTGAACTGCGTAGCTATCACCTCCCAATTCTTATTATAAACTTTCACGTATGTTTTTAACAGTTTATCCTGAAATATAAAATACATTATGTTAACAAACAAAGTGACAAAAGATTCGAGTTTGATTAGTTGGGCACAGGAACACGTGTTTATTATTATTATTATTATTGAGGGTGCGGGAAGAAATTGCTCGAGTGAAGCAATTTCCTGTTGTCGTAAAAACGAAAATATGAAGCCAGGACCATTCTAGGAAATAATGCCTTTACGTATCGAAAACTTAGCGACCATGTCTTGAATAAATAACGTGTTTTAGATTATACAGAGACATATACGAACAATAAAAATTCAATTTTCATTGCTCAATGAAACTCAAACTAAATCACAAGTTAGATCTCGAATTTGTTTTTTGATGTTTCTACTAATCGAGTAATGGCATGTATGATATTTGCATAGCCTGTCCTTTTTGTACAGATAGAATTTGCGTGTAGCTGTGAGCAAGTTCTAATGCCTCTATTGTATATATTGTTTATACATAGCAAGACTTAAATAATCAGGTTTAATGATCAAAAATACCAAATTTTGCTAATTCAAACCACATCCCAGGAGAGGCAAATGTAATTTCCAAGATATTTTCAGAAGCGTTAACAGCAAAGTGGTATATATCCACATAACTAGAACGAACGATCATCGCCTTTTGATTTACATCTTAATACAAATGTAACCGGATAAAAAGTTTGCAAAACAATAAATCAAATAAGAATAGTCACATCCTTATTTCGTGTTTTAACTCTTAACTGCCTTCTGGGAATGAGCTTTTAGCAACAACAAAGAGAATTTATTTGCGTACCAACAATACCCCGGTCAAATAAGGCGCGACAACATAAAATGCGGGTGATATTACTTCCCACATCTGTCAACAATTGTCTGATATATTGGTCGATATCAAAGACTTCTACGGTCGATGTACAGCATGCGAGGACTTCCCGAAAACAGGATAAAGAGCCAATAACGCAGTTGTTAATATACTGTTCTTCGCGTACTACAATAATTATTAATTAATCCAAAGGTCTATATTACTGGCTTCAACTGTAATAATCGAGAATACAACTTACCTCTTCCTTCGTCCATCTGCCTCTATTGATATTCTTCCGCGACCCAGAACTTTTGGTTGAAGTCGGCACATCCTCATACGCATTCGAGTCCTCTGAATAGTCGCTCGTCTCAGAATCATAGCCGCTACGTCTGCAAATGAGACCATTTATTAGATTTAGATGACGCATACCACATCTGCTGTACAGTTTGAGTCAAATATTTTATTATCTCGCTTTGAAATCTAAGCACCATGCTCGTACCCTTGATTTGGTACACTAGCGCCAAAAGACTCAATATTGGGTGATTATTGAATGAACTAATTGACATTGAGTAAGCATTGCGTCTATGTTTCAAGAGTATGGAGCTCTCGTTATTGGATTGCATTGCAAGTAACATTGAGATTGCGTTCAAGAGTAAGTCTACGGATCAGCGTAAATAACGCAAATTATTTTGAGGTCAATTTTCCCGCCTATAACGTGGGGAATTACGGATACTAGAGGCGAATGAAAAGATCTGTAGTGCTGTACTGTTATAATAACAGCCTCGAACTGAACGTCGAGAATAGCGCTGTCTTAGCATAGAAGTTCAATCATTTGAAACCTACTTCAAATTATTATAAAACCAAGGCGGTTTCCTAATCAAACATCTATGAATCATTATAAGTATTAAATAATAAAATTTAGGCGTGAAATTAGCCTAACATAATGTTGCTCTTAAAATAAAACCGGTTGAAATTGATAAGAAGCAAAGGTAGCATAACAATTAATCAAAAAAACCGGTCAAGTGCGAGACGGACTAGAGCACGAAGGGTTCCGTACCAAAAAAGTCACTTTTTTTGTATGGGACCTTCCCTTAAATTTGTTTAATAAATCTTATTCTGTTTATATAGCAGAAACAAACCTCTGCAATCTGTGTAAATTCCAAACAAAATAGCTATCGCGGTTCATAATACACATCTGATGACAGACGAACAGACAGCGGAGTCTCCACAATAGGATCCCGTTTTTAGCCCTTGGGTACGGAGCTCTAAAAAAGCACAACTGAGTTCCAAGTGTCGCGTCGCTTAGTTCAATAGCAATAGCAAAGTTCAAACATCCTTTGAGTTGAAGCGGGAAATGTTAGGAGAACAAACAACTACGTTTAAACTTTTAGCTAAGTCACGTTTAGGGAAAATAATTTATTTTGTTCGTAATCGTATACTAACTTGGGAGTCTCGAAATATTGTAATTTTACATTGACCTTTCATAAGATAGTAAATATAGTTTTTGGAATACTTAAATACTATTTTGAATTCTTAATTTTGATAATGCTATATTTCTCGAGATATAATACCGAGGTATTATTATCACTAAAATATCGTGATAAATAAAAATAAGAATAGATAAATATGTGGCTTATTTACTATTATAACGTTCTTGAATATCTATTAATAATAATAAATAATATTAAACTATCATAAATAATATCTGCTTTTAAAGATGGCGTGCGTAATTTTATAATACATATACAAATTCCATAATTAATAATGATTCTAACTTCTAAAATAAACTAAACTTCTAAATATATTATATAAAGGATTTTCTTAGTACATACCATATGATTTATGAACATTAAGCAAAGTATTTTAATACATCATATTATAAAATATTATCGGATGTTTCACAAAGTCACATTATATTTCCAAGAGACACGAATGGGTCACAGTCCAAAATAGATCTTGCATACAAAAATATTAAGTTCTTTATCATAACAAATAACTCCACGTCGTCTGGATTACGTAATCTCTATTATCATAGGGTTTCCATAAGACAAGACTTTTGGAGATACATCAGGAAATTGAAAAATTCGAAATATAATCTTTTTGTAATTCAACAAAAAATTTAAAACGAAATACTTATCGACTCACTGAATTATTATGAATCATCACTATATCACAAGAATAGTAAGGGGATACCAATAGAAACGATTTCGCTAAAAACGCCATGCGACATTATTGTCACAAAACCTAAAAGTTCCCACAAAACCTCAAAGTTAACTAATTTAGTTCAATGGTATATTTTTTACAATTTACTAAGAAATTGATTTGAAAACATGAAGAAAAATTCATTAGTATGTTTTCTAGTACATGCATTAATTTGACATATTTATCTAACATACATATATTTTAGAAACGATTAATTATAATTGAATATGAAAATACACATTTTCAATCAACAACATTTTCGATCCAAGATAAAAAGATATTTGAAACCAACTGTTTTCCCGCATGATGTAGATGTCCAATAGTTTCGGAGTCTATGCAATTGAAACATATTATATTTGTAATGAGGCCACAATTTTACTATATTGGGTCTCGTTATATAACACAAGAACTAGAACCTTTTCTTAAGCATCACGCCATTTGAACCCACACCTAAGGTTTTCAATACTTTCAATGAATTGATGGCGCCAAAAACCCCACTTTGTAAAAACACGTAGTCAATTCTCAGAAAGGGACTAGTAAGTACTTCTGTCGGTGGATCCTTTGGCTTCCCGTTTGCCATTTGAAATTAAGCCGAATGACGCGCGCATAAAGACCAAAATATCTTAAAGCGTATGGCCACTTTGACTATCAAAAAACGAGTTTTCGAGATAGGCATGGAAAAATATCTCATACCGGTTTTAAACACCAATAATTCTTGTCCACATTTAAACTTTGATGAGGTAATGATAAAATTAAAAAGAACATACTATTTATACATGTTTCGAGACAATCAGCTGATCGCTAAACTTGTTTCTCATTCATCGATCTAAAGTACAATATTAGCGATATTGAAACACAGACCATTCATTAATAGTTAGGCAAGCCAAGATTGAACAAAATCCAGCGATAATAACAAAAATACGGTTAGCCACAAAATGATTAATCGTTAAAAAACAATAGTTGTAATAGAAATAAAGACCGATTTTTGCACTAGCATAATACATAAAAGAGGAAATCCAAATATAGACAAAAAATAATTAAAAATATTGTATATAGTAAGCTAACTATACCATACGTTTATAATTCATATTTATTTCAATTTGTACTTAATTATGAAAGAAGAAGACCTGTACAAATATAAATCGAAACAGCTGGGTAACAATAAGCAAATTACGTTTCCGCATTTATTATGATAACCTAAAAATATGTAAAATATTTAGATAAAACTTACTCATTTAACATTACGCCCAATTATCTAAAAAGTGAAGCAAAGATAGGACTGTTCGACTTCCACTCCATATTAACGTCAGAAAATATTCATATTCAAAACAATTATCACGATCAATTCACTCGATCTACAAAACATTTCCCGCCATAAAATTTATCCAAGCCACATTTTTGTACGCACAAACAACTCACGCGCAGCACAAGACTCAACTACACAACAGCAATGAAGAAAATTTTAATCCCACGTTCCCACACTCACACTACAATAACTTAACACACCTACACGGATCGAATATGCAAGACTTAAATACGTAATAAGGGTGAAGGGATCCAAAAAAACCCTGGAGGGATACAGAAAAGAACAGTGCATTGAAAATTGTATGGTCATGACAAAGACGGAAGATCAGGTACAGAAATCATACCCATAGTGGGAATGTGTGACGCAACACAACCGAAGGAGAGCAGGTGTAGGCAACTGGTATGGAAAAGAAACAAAGAAAAATCGATTTAATATTTTTTTTGTCGGATAGGTCAGCGACTAGAACCAAAGGAAATGTTGATTGCACAAGAAGTAACAACTTTAACATTAAATAAAGAAAGGACGCATGTAATGATCCCAGTATTAATTTTTCATTGATGAGACATCATTAAGCGACACTTTAATAATAAGACATAAATATTTAAAAATTAGCTAATACAGAAAGAGAGAGAGTAATAAAAAATAAGATCATAAACTAAAACCCGACAACAACTAAATCACGCTCTTATCAGTTTAAAACAAATCCTCGGGCAACTAAGACGCTTCTAATGATACCTCATTTGTCCGGGTACGATGAGTAGTTTCGAAGTTAAAGGGAACAGATGAACATTCTTAGATACATACCGCCCAAAATCATAACCCTCCTGTTCGCTTCGCCGCCGTAGTCGGGTAAAAAAAAAAACAAAAACCACGAAAGTCATTTCAACTTATTTCTCAGTAACGGGACAATTTTTTTTCACTTATACCAGGACCGGATGAATACGACCCAAATGTTTGCCATTAATCAGCTGACTAGGACCTCGCATTTTTGAGCTAACTTCGGCTACAAATCCCTCGTTACTTTCTGACAATCACGCCCTAATATGAAACTCTATTTCTAGTTCAAAATTATCTGATGATTACAAAACGTGTCATTTCCTGTCAGTTATATGTTAAGTTTAAGGGCATTGCCGTATACCGATAAATCTAATCAGATATGAAGATAAAAACTTTTTCACATCGAAAACCTGGATTTTTAATTCACGTCGCCTGTCTAGACAGTAAAATAAACACACAGTGTTTCCAAACAAAATTAGAGAAACAGAAAAAATATGACTGGTGGTAATTTATCGAGCTTTAAAGTTTTAAAGAAATTTCACACTCCAAATTTCTCATTAAAATGCGGAAACAAGTCATTTCCACCTGTCTTCCGTGAATCCTCTTTTGATTTCTCGAACGATTGCAGGTTTATAAAACACTTTCTAAAAAATGGACTAATAGGCTTTGTATATTTAAATTCTAATTTCATAATATATTCTGACAAATAATATAAACTGACAATATTTATAATATTCTATAAATAGTCTATGTTTTGGTGTTTTTCTGTAGGCGTAAAGTATTCCTTCTAAGCCTCACATTTTATCACAATCTGTCAAGCAGGGATGCCACCTTTTGACATATGAACGGTCAGAAGCAATCAAACTTCACTTCAAAATATATCAAAGGAAAAATATATAAAAACTTAAAAGAACAGAACCGACTTCAAACTTTAAAAATATTATAAATAATACTTATCTCAAAAGCAATATATTCTAGAATATGCTACTTCTTTTTTCAAATTTTTATTTCATTCTTTTTGTGTTATGAAACTTTTTTATGAAACACCCAATATATTAAATAACTATATAATTAAAGATATTCAACATAGTGAAAGTTATAGAAAATTTTGAAGATTTTGTCAATTTGCTCGCAATAATTTTTTCCAATTATTCTATACTCATAAAGAGGAAAGATTTGATTTGTTGTTTGTTTGCATTGGATAGGCTTTAAAACTATTGGACCGATTTATAAGTCTTTCATCTAAAATCATTTTGCAAATCTGTTAACAATTGACGGAGTTATCAGTGTGCATACATAAAAAAATCATACGTCGCCGTCGAACATATAATCCTTTTAGATTTTGAAGTCGATTAAAATTAGACTATACTATAAGGATATTATAGACTATACTATAAGGATATATAGCCGGATTGCATTGCGGCGAGGCCTGCCTGGGGATACCTAAGGCGCGATTGTTGGGAGTCATCAAATATCGGGGCAAAATTAATAAGCAATCGGGACGCGGGACAACATCATTGAAATCGGGACTGTCAACCCTACAGCCCAGGCAGCGATTTGGCCATGAAAGCAAAACAGATAGATTTACTTTCACAATTATAACTTACATCCATCACATAAAATATATCTATGTTGATTTATTCCTTGTTTATTAGAAAAAAGTTTTTTTGTTTGTTATTAGTACTGTAATCTGCTTAGAAAACTCCTTATATTTATCCATTATTTATATTAATAGTATCCTATCTATTATATTGATTATTTTGTAAATTATTCAATATCTCTAAAAGATTGTCCATTAACTATTAACATATATTATATAAACATTACATCAAACTAGCTTTCAAAATGGGACAAAATGTAACCTATATAATATGAGGATTAACATTATCTATCCGTCATCAAAATCCGTTCAGTTGTTTTTGAGTGAAACAGAAACTTACATACATACATCCTTACAAACTTCCACATTTATAATATTGATAGGATATGTTATAGGACTATGACTTGGGTTATTAATTTCTACAATGTCGTAATGACTACATTTAGGTCAGTATCCTGTGAATCAAGACATGACATGAAATATAGCAGAAAAATTTGTCCCCTAGGGGTTCCTTAAGGAAATGTCCTGTTAACTCACGCATCACCCGTGCATCCTGTCTTGTGCCCCTTTGTGTTTGTACGAACTACTTATTAGTGCTTTTTAGAGTAGTTTTGATTGAAAGTGCGATCCCTTTTTATTGTGTTACTATACCCTATTTATTTTGTAAATACGAATGTTTGTGAGGATGGACGTGTGTTTGTTACCCTTTTACGCAAAAACAATCGATTTTTTTTTTTGATGAATTTGGTATACGGGTAATTCTAAGCCGAATTAACATATAGGCTACTTTTTATCCTACTAAACGGTGCCTTAGGAATAAATGTACTATCAAGTCTTCGTGTAAACCACACGGTGAATACATATATGAAAAACGAATATATATTTTAAAATGCTTTAGAGTTTTCTGTAATTATCTGCATATTTATAAAAAAGAGAAATTAAGGAGACTCGTCGCTCCATGGTATTAAAATGAACAAGTTATATTTTAGATGAAGGAAATTTTTGTAGAACGATTCAATTACGACCTTTAGATGCTCATTTCATTCACTGTTTTAATTAATATTACGATAAAGCAAGCATTTCATAATATTTATAACATTTAGGTCAAAAGATAACTGAATGAATATGATATGAAATAAACCTTTTTAAGCGCATGATCCGATTCAATCGGATTCTAAATATAGTGTCGGTATATATTTGAAATACAATTATAATTTACTCATTACTAAAGACAAAACGATCTGGGAGGAGGAAACGAATGGGGTAACTTTGCGATTTACTATATAATTTTTTTTATTGTTATGAACAGTCATTTTCGGTGTACAACGCATAAGTCTATCGGTCATACATAACTAACAAAGAATGAGGAGGTGCGATATGTCTCCTTTTCTTCTCCAGTAAAGTATAATTTTTAAATTGCCACTAGTAGTTTTAATATGTAGGTAAATGAAAACAAACAAGTAAGATAAAACTTAATAATCAAATAAGTGGATAATACGTGTATCCAACAGTGAATAGTGAAAACAATGAAATCGAAATCCGTTGCGTGATTTAAGAGTCAACAGCATTGGACAAAAGGAACGATAAAGACG